CTTGTAAGATTCTTAGATATACATGAGCCTAGTATTATAATTAATAATTTAATACTAATTATACAATTAATATTCTAGCCCTTCCACAACATTTGAACCATTCAGGAACGCTTTCGATCAGGAATATTATGCCGCTGAAATTGCAGGACAGCGAGATCCCGGCAACTGTGACAATTTATTTCCGGAATGCACGGAAAGTCTTTTGGAGTATTTTACTGAGATATTAGAATAACTTTATATACGAGGCGTTCTTATTTTAGCTTTACGTTTCAGTGCTGAATAAAAGCTATTTATAGCGGATCTGTAGATGTGTCGCGTATCTTTTATCGCAGCAGCGATTGATTTTTTCGCAATATAAATTCTCGATATCGTATAAAACGCGCAATATCACGAGCAAGAAATTGCCAAAAATTCGAGACACATGAAGCATCCTTTCTAATAACAGCTCCAGCACACCGCATGGTGATTAGTAGCCGGTCTCTTCGGTCTCTGTAAATCTCGAGCGTTTTCTCTCCGCATGCACCTGTTATCGAACGAGTAATCGAAGGAGTATTGGCAATAACATCGGATAACTGCGATCACGTTCTGTCGCAAGCGTCTTTTATATTTCTCGGTTCTCCGTACGCGTCTCGCTCCGCCGTCCGCGCTTCGCTCGCTTACTTTCGTCCTGCCCATTGTCCTGCTTCTTAATATTTGTAATATCAGACCGGACGCAATCGTGCGAGTTCAGAGCTCATAACTTACTTCTATACGAAGGAGCCTCGCACGTTCTAACGTACATTACGTGCACAAGATGCTCCGGGAACATCAGGGATAACAATAAATTTTCTTTATGACGGTCATTTTGCCCTGATTAAAAATAGCACCGAATTGACATACCGGCATCGTTGATTCTGATACAATTTAATTTTTTTCGGCACTGTGAGTATTGCAAAAAAATGTTCAGCAATCGTAGCTATATCAACGAGCAATACGCAGGTTTTTTTTAATGAAAAGAACGGGATTTTGGTATTACGATGTCTCGGATAAGTAAAGGCAGTAATTTAAAAAAAAATGGAAGAATCAAAGATCCATAACGTTTCGGAAGGCTGAACGTGATGTGAAAAGTAGGATTATGTGATTTGAGTTTTTTCCCGGCGATCGTGCAATAAAAAAGGCAGTAAGCATTGTTATTATAGGGTCTTTGACAAGGGTTCAAGGTCTCGATATTGTGGTGGCAATATAAAAGATACTGACGATGTAGGAACTGGTTATATAAGTTGATATAGCGCTTATATTCTTTAAATCAAGTTTATTATCAAACTCTGTTAGTTTATTTATCATGTTATCATTTTTCTGTTAGTTTATTTATCATGTTATCATTTTATCGATTTATTTAAAATTAAGTCAAAAATCGAAAATTTGCTGCAGCATAGTTGGAATAATAAATTATTAACAATATTAAAGATAAAACTAAGTTAATGTATAGATAGATATGGTTGATTTCAAAGTATAATTTAATTTTTATTATTTTTGATGCTGTAAATATTTGTAAGTGTAAGAAAAAATGCAAAGAGATAAAGAATTTTGAGCAATCATACACAAGCAGTACGCAAGTTTTTTTTATTGTCCATTTAGCTGTAGCCAAGCCTGAAACCGTTCAGCTGTATCGACTGGACAAAGGAATTGGCTTAGCTCGCATGTACTGACATGGAATGTACTGGATTCTGCCACGGAATTGAATTACAACTCTAGAACGACGTAATAAAACTTACCCTCCTCGCGTATATATCCTTGTTCCCGTCGTTGGAGCAAGTGTAAGGAGAAACGAATCAACTCTGGACTGTCCAGAAAGGTTCGCTATCGATCAGCGGTAAACGAATTTCTGATTTGTAATAGAAATGCAAGTTTAAACAAGCTGCGACTGTAGTTGCGGTTAATCGTATCTGTCGAATGAATAAATATAATTATATTTACATATTAATTAATCTCTCTGTGCAATCTCTGTATCAAGCAGTCTAAATCACCACGTTTAAAAATTACGGTTTGTAATTATGGCAGCGAAAGTAGCTGCAAAGCTAAATTTATAAGGAAACATATGAGAAAGAATTGAAATTGATTTTTGTTGTGTTTTAGATTTTTCGTAATCATTCATTTCAAGCACACTTTGAAGGCGCTGACGAACAATGGATATTTTTTTCAATTTTCGTTTTAAGTGGCACATACAACCGGGTTACTGTGGAAAATGGATCCTCCGATACCGCTATTGTTGACCAACGTGATAAACTGACCTCGCATACGTCTTCTTTTGTTTCAGAAATACCCCGTGTGCTGTTACGTAACCATTTATTTTTACTCTAGCGATTTTGTGCATTGTGTATCCCGCAATCCTCTCCCTATATAAAGAGAAATGATCGAAGTTACGGAAATGTTGCCTGCCACAGTGTCAAGAGTTACACTTTGCAAAATCAATTTTTTAATCGTAAACAGCGGTTTTTCTACCACTGGTTTCGAAAAATATTATTTTATTTCCTTCTTTTAATTACGTAGTATTATCAGTATAAAGTACCATATTAAGAATTTTATCAGCCAGACAAATGTTTTGTATAAAATTTGCAGAGCAACATAAGAATTAAGAATTTTTGTTTATCAATGAATAAATCTTTTTTTGTCGAGCTAGATCTTTATTTTCAACGGAAGAATTGTGGAAAAATAAATATCGCTAAATTGTGAAGCCGGTTGTGAACGAATACACGTGTACTTTTGCATTTAGCCATAAGTCCAAAGAAGATTTTATGTACATAACGGGGACGAGTTTTATGGGATCGTACGTCCACTGTGATTCAATTTAATGCCAGACATCGTGGACGTTCGTGCCGACTTACAAAGATTCTGCGATGTTCCGAGATTACAGGATACGAGCGAATTACTGACTGATCCTTCCGCAGAAACGAAGCTTCTTTCTCCTTGTTACACGCCGGCCGTTTTTCTTCCCGATTGAACCGCTCGTCCGCCCTCGCACAAATTTTCGCTAAGATTTTATTACGTTGCCGGATCGTTCGTTTAAAGGTCCGCGAAATACTTACCGTCGGCCAACGTCGATCATGACGTCAGAAACGAGGAACGTGAACGATTCTTGCAACTTACGGCCATGGAAAAAATATATCAGCACTTAAGAAGTAAAAGAGTTTAAGTTTAAAATGATTGATTTTGATATACAATTTTTTATATTTTTCTAATAAACAAATATATATTTTCTTAATTTTTTATTACATTTTATTGAATGATGAAATGTACACACGGTATATATGTAATATATTCCAAAAGAAAGCTTCTTTAATTTCTTTTTTTTTTCATTATTGAACCGATAAAAGTTCACCTTTGACCTATTTATTCCATTACAGTCGACCCTTAAACGTTTTATGAAAGACCAACGTTTTGCTATTTTACGACACACAGTTTCCAAGTCGTGCGTACATCTACAAGTATTATACCGACAAGGTGGACTTAAAGATTAAGATATTGCTTCGTTGTCCTTTACGACAGACTTTTTTCTCTTTTCATAATGCGACTTCGATTTGGATTCAGCTTGAAAGCCGGCTTTGCCGCTTTTATCGAGTTTTCTGCCGCAACGCTATCGGCGAAGTGCCGATCCATTCGTCCTTAGTGCCGCATTAAGGTGATATCATAACGAAATGGAGCGCGAATGCAGTTCTCCTTTTGCGGTTTTCCCACTGCGATAGATTTTTTTCGTTGATATCTCCGCGAGCGTCGCGCGGGGTTACTGAACTCGTCTTGGCATCCAATGGCTTACGAAAGGGTTCGCGAGGGCGTCTTTGGAATATATATTTACCGCAGGTGTGTGTGTACGCGACGTATCGACTATAAGGGAGGCTGATATAGTGAAGATAAATAGATTTGAAAGAAAGTCGTTCTAAACGTATTGCTTTAAGTACATGAAGTATCGTAAGGATATCGTAAGATTTTTCAAGGATATAAATTTGAGCAAAGATTAAGGAATAAACTCCTATTTATCACAAAAAATTAATAACACTTTTTTTATAATAATAATTTTTTATCAAAATGAGTTTGTAATAATAAATTTAATTTTGTCTACTTATAGTATAAAAATCTACGGTACGCGAAATTTAAGATTACGATAATCCAGTTTTGAAATAAAATATTTTTACATTAAAAAATACAATATTTTATAAAATTCATAAACCATCACTTGCAATAATTTCCATTCTTTTGTTATTATTTTTTATTCCGTTGATAAATTATGAAACAATATATTTACTTTCTAGAATTATAAATTTGACATTTATAGTTATATAATCTTCTTTAGAATTACGTTTTTCAAGCAGTACTTATGAAAGAAATGAATCAAATTAAAGCGCGCTTATTTCATATTAATAATTATTCTTGCAGCCGTAAGAACTGATTAAAACACCTCCAGCGAAATATACTCGGCAAGCGCGTTTTATTCTCTCGTACGTATTATACTATTTTGCGTTGCACCGAACATTTAATTATCGCAGATATAGCGCAGACGCGTGAAAAGAGTCTCATCATGACATAACTTTTAGCGACGCATCACTCTGTGTACACAGCGTGATGCGTCGTTCGCGAACTTATTAACAGAGACGCGTCACATTCAATTCCGCACGATTCGCATCGCATGTCGCGTAGCGAAATTTCAAATATTTGTCCGAATCGCAGCCGTGTTGGTGCGCGCTCGACGAGACGCATTACGAAACCGGTCATTATGCATGCGTTGTCGGTGGGAATTACTCGTCGCCGGATTACATAAACGGCGTTACGGGTCTTCGAACCCGCTGGAATTCGCCGCCAATTCCCAGGGAACGGCGCAAATGTTTGCGTTGGAGGTGCTTAACGATTCCCGCGACACGCGAAAACGATGCCGCAAACCAATCCAGTTCGCCACCTTCGACGGAGTGCGACGTCGCTTAATCGGACACCAGGGATCCTCTCGTCTCGTCGCGGCGGTGCCCGAGAAAATGATCGGATCGATTGTTCTCGCTCTGATTCTGTTCTGTCAATCGATCAACCACGGGGGATGCCTCCAGGCGAGCGACCCTCGCGTAAACAGCACAAGCGGCGAAATCTCACAGCGCAGGCTGAAAAGGAGTCTCACTTTTCCCAATCCATCCACGCTCCTGGTACGTGATTGGTTGATTGATGGAGAGCATCATTGCTTATTTAGTTATTAGTAATTTTTTTATCAATTGCATCATAAAAACGTTGCATGTAACTTTATCGCGTAAATACTGAAATATGTTTTAAAATTAACTTGTGTTTTACCGCGACAGAGCGCCGCAGTTTTTATTATTAAAACGAGCGTCGAGACCGAGTCTGAAAATTAATACACACAGACATTTCCGCGATGCGGCGCGCCCTTTGTCGTTCATCCACTTTTCAGGAGAGCGTGTTTCTACGAACCACCACGGCGGTCACAATGGTAATCTACGACGTTTCGCTTTTCGAATGAATAGTGTGAAGAAAAGCGACCAGCGCGAGAATCGTGACAGGACGATCGAAACGGCGGGCGCATTTTGTGTTTTTCAATGATACGGGTAATTATTTGCCTTTCGCGTTGACGTCGGCGGAAAATTATTAGACAGCCGTTTTGACAAGCTGGCGCGTACAACGCGATCTTTCGTGGTTCATTCAATTTCCATGACAGCTTCAATTTCCATGAGGGCTGGAAGGGCGTGCGCACGAGACAAGCTATGCGTGTGCAGAGTGGATATAGGTTTTCGGGTACGCGACACGTATGCCGGGCGCGTGCATATGAATTTCGATAAAACCGCGAATTTCCACGGAGAATTGTACCGCCGGGGCGGCGGCGTGTCTGGGGAGGACAGTTTAACGAGATTCGACCTGGGTTTTTACACGAGATCCGTAAAAACGCTTTTTACGTTGTGCCACAACGAAACTGTCGGTGAACGAAATCGATACATTCCACGGCTTAGTTTTAGTGATAGACCGTCAGTTTGTACCGATATGTGAAAAGTGTAGGACGATTTTCATTACTCGCATTAATAGAAGACATGATCAACTTGACGATTTAAATAAAAAAAAAAAAAAGAGAGATAAAGCTTTGAGAGCATCACGTTCCAAGTTTTAATATAACGAGCGATAGTCTAATACACGAATGTGTACGAAAAATGTTATGTTTGTCCGAGATTAACAAGCTTTTACTGCAGCTTTGGAACGTATTTATTTAGTAAATACGCTTAATGGCAAAATGTATTTAAGTTAATTTACAAACAAACTTTTTATTTACATTTCTAAAGCAGAAAGCAGGTCATATAAAAATATATTAATTTTATTATAAAAAAAAAGTTAGGCTTGGAACCTTGCGTTATAAATTTCTTGGAAAATATTTATAAGTATATAATACATTTTCAGTGCATAATGTTCAAAAGTTTTTAAATTATTATCCTTTTATCTACATTTTAAAATTATTATTCTATAATTTATATTTAAAAATTATTATTCTATTTCACGAAGGGGTTTAATTCATATTACAGCTTAGATATTATGCAAACTACAATAGTTTGCATCTGCCACTGGCAGAGTGTAAACGCGATAATCTTGAAAATAGCTCGTGAAAGGGCAGTCTTGTGGTTGCGGATATTCGTGCCGGAATTACGCTCGTACGCGATACGTTCGCAATCAATTACTCGCGCATAATGTCGGGGTGCGGGCGCGCGGCATTGTTTGCCGCGCCGGCACTCTGTCGGGGTAGGGAAAGGGGAAAGAAATACTGCGTGTCGGCTCCTTTTTTCGCCGGCGTGCATTTTCTCCTGGCGAGGCCGTCGTACTCGCCGCCACCGCCCAGTTACTCTGCCGGCGGAACGATTCTCTACGCGGAAATTTGCGGTTTTATCGGAAATTCATACGAGAGGCGGTCTGCGCGAGCCCGACGCGGAAATTGGATAAACTTCGTACGATCATCCGGAATTCACGTGCAGTCACGCTGCGATTCATCGTGAGGAGCAACCCCGTCGCTCGCGCATACAATATAGGAAAACACAGCTAACGTCGACGAAGATAATTAATGTGCGCGATGCAGTGAGCAGCGTCCGCACGATGATTGACTTCTACTACTTTCCACCAACGCGGTGCAGCTGGTTATGATTAACATGTTAAATGACACGGCGATCATCGATATCTGATCTTATCAATTTAACCGGATAAAAGTTACAATCGAAAAGCAAAGAAAGCTATTTCAATATTACTTTTAATTCGTTTACATAACGATAATAAAAAAAAAAAAAAATAAATTTATGAAGAAATTGGATATAGATATATTTAAAATTACCAAATAGTTTGGTGAATTCTGAACACTGTAATTTAGAAATATAAGACAATGTAAAAATGATTTTCTTTAAAGTAAAAATGTTACCATCATATTATCATATTCTCCGCTTGAACGCTACTTGCTGCTTTCACAGCTAATTTTTGGTCTGGGCACTCCGCTACAGCTGGATCGCGAGAGCATAATCGTGGGTGTGTTTGCAAAAATGCAGTATACTTTGCCAACCAACGCTACAGATTTCACGGAGCCGGGAGTGTATTACACGAGAGCCGGCAGTAGAAGCAGGTGGAGCTTTTACAAGATGTTCGAAAAGATGATGGCCATATATGGCTTTGGCGGCAAAGAGTGTTTACTGAGAGCCATTTGCGAGGTCGCTTACGTTCCATTTGACGTCCATCATGGTTTGCTGGGACAGTTGGTGCAGACTTTCCTCAGGTAAGTAAATAACGCGTTGTTTGGAAAAATGCGTACATTTAAATCTCGCGTGAATCTCGAACGCGAATTGCAAGTCTTTTTTTATACGAATGCAAATCTTGAAAAAGATACAATTCAAACATCACAATTAAAAGAATCGGTTTTTTTATATTATATATATTTTGTCTTCAAATAAATATCATAAAGAATTATTATCGGAGCTTAATTAATTAAGAAACTTAATATTACTAATTCCAAATCTTGACTTTCAAATTTTTAATAAAATAATTAATTATAAAATCTGCTAAAAGATTTGCTGTTGAAACGTTTGATGTTAATGTAACGCAGTAACACAACTTATTCTATATATATACTTCTCGAGATACCCCTCTTTTATATGAAAAAGCCGTCTTCGTTATCGATAATCGTTCGAAGCAATCACTGCGACGGCGAGAAAAATTGACTGGCCGCACAATAAAACACTAGCTCCGTCGTCCACGCATAACGTCAATTACACGCAAAACATAATGTCACGGCGCAGACGGCGACGGTATTTAATAAACATCGCATCAAACACGACTCTCGAATTTTTCGATATCCACGATTCTCCGATATTTCGCCTCGCAGCGACGGCAACGGGGCGCCGTTGCAATTTTTCACGCGCAGCCACGTATGCGAATTCCATGGGATTCCAGGCCCTCCAGCACCCGGGAAGAATACGACGAGTACGGGGATCGGGAATACCGGGCGGCCGAACGGCTGGGCGAGCAGGTGGAGGGCGAAAATTGCCACGCCCTTTATCCGGAATGCCGCAGAAGTGTGCTCGACGTGTTTTCCACGTTGATCACGTGAGGCCGAATGGAAATCTCGACGGAAGCAGGCGGGAGGCGTCCAGTGCACAAATGTGATTTGAGAAATGTTAGAATTGTGTGGAGATGTCGGATTGTCGAATGACGTTGTAAAATATCAGATCGAAGTTTAGAAGTTCAGAAGAGTGATACGTTGCTGAGTGCTCGGTTTTTGTAAAATATATGTATCGTATCATATATATCGCAACATATTTTCCTTAAAATATATTTTGTATAAAAATAAAATAATAAAAATTACAGGTTATTTAATTTTCTTGAAAAAAAAAATATAACAATAAATTAGGAGAAAAAATATTTATATATGAAAGAAATATAATATATAAATATATTAATCTGAATAAAATTTTTTCGAACGTTTCTTCACAAGAACAAGATTCCTTACGAATAATTCATCTCTGTTCGATGCTTCGTCGTTTCAAAGATGTGAAAAAGTCACGAAAGTGTTCCTAGGCTTCTCGTTCTCTATTGGCATTCCTTTCCTTCCTGATACGGAGTTTCATTTTCCTAAAAGTGTACGAAAGAAACATGGAGTTTCGGCGGGTGGAATGCCGGCATTCGATATTAAAGAATCTTCGGCATTTGTCGGCTTGCAGAAGTTTATCGCGGTTTTTCTATTACTCGCGCATTTCCGTATAATCACGCAAAAGAAAAGCTCATCCAAAGTTTTTCGCTTTCACGAAGCGTCTATCGTGATTTCTTTATGTCCGCTGGAGAAGCTGCGCGGTAAGGCTATCCTTTAATTAACGTATTTTTCTAATTGCGGAGGCTAAACTCTTGAGAGAAAGCGCAGGAAAGTAAAGAGCATTAATTGTTCGAAAAATATTCCAAACTTATATATTCTTGAAAATAACTAAATTGGTTAAAACACTGAATTTTGCGAAAACGTATATTTGCTGTTTCTATAATTCATATAATATAAGCCAATTCGGCGAATTGACCTCTTAATTTAATGCATGTACATGTATATTTGCACCCACACGAGTACGTATACATTTCCCGTAATGATGCGTATTGCAACCGCATTCGCATCTATACATGGTATATGCGGTTGTCGGTTAATTATTAGATAATAGATGTACCACATAGTTAATTATGAATAGATATTAGTTTAGCCTGTAAACTTATCCCTTCTTGCGCAACATGAATGCCAAGACAACGTTTTCTAAAGAACATCGCAGAGCGTCTACTAGACGTTCCAATCTATCAATCTCTATTTAAAAAGAATGAAGTAAGTTCAAAAATTTAATTTTTCAAGAGAAGATTGCAAAATTTAATATTACCTAGGCATAAGTTTAATATTTCTCCTAAAAGCAAAAAAATCGACAAAGAAAAACATTGATTACAAATTGTAATTGTGGTTTAAAATTAATTGTCATAATCAATTATATTTAAAATTTAAACTAAGTAAATTAGCAAGATTGAACAGCAAATTTGCTTATTGGAACCGCTTGTAGGCGTTTAATTGATTTTGCCTCAACGTTTTCTTTTAGAACAATATTTTCACAAATTTTCTCACCGTTATCGAAATCAATTTTAATCAAAATTGCGCCGCACGCGATTTCCTTCGGTTCAGATGACATTTTTGCAGTAAACCCAAGACTTCCTATTCCTGGATTTGCATGTCGCACTGGAAAGCCGCTTTAACGTGTTTACAACGCGAAACGATTTCTTCGCCGTAACTTTTTATTATGTCGCATCATACGCTTGCTTACGTTGTGAAAATCTCATTTCCTCGGAGCTTCGTAAACACGCGATCTTATGCGGCGTTTCGCGCGGTAACGCTAAACGTGTGTATTTTTTGGAGTACAATATGTTGTTGCGAATTTGTTTCGCGCCTCACAATAGCTTGCTACTGCGTCTACCTGTATTACGACGAGATATTCTTGAGTTTGCATGTTGTCCACAATCGTGAAAGCTAAATTTGATGGGAAAAGTTTGTTTTCTTCGGTGGTAGAGGGTTCGCGAAATTTTCAACTGATGTTCGCTGATACATTCTTATTTGCTCGCTTACTAGAATATGATAATGCGCTAAAAAATCGATATGGTATAAGCTTAATATTTTTCTTTGAAATAGAAAATTGAAAAAAAAGAATTAGACAGCATTGATGACAAATTGTAATCAACTTGCAATTGTCATAATCAGTTATATGTGAAATTTAAACTAAATAAGTTGCAAGCAATCAATTATTATCGTTAATAAATTACAATTTACATAGATATAATTTGTATAATTTATTGTCTACTAATTATAAATATAATTAATAATAAGTAATAAGTTGATTATAGTTTTGTAAATTTTTTTAGAAATTTCTAAAGGAAATAATGTATTTTTGCTTTCTCCGACGTAAAAGTGACTATAAATTTACAGCTTCTTTTAAATTGTCGGCTATATTCAGTCTCCCCTTGTCGAATTTTCGGCGTTTTTACGGGATTCCGGGACATTTTTATACTCTTTATTCGACAGGATATGCTTGTCTCTGAAGCGTTCATAGTGAATGGAAACGATTTACTGCCGCGACATCCGTTCTCTGACGCCAATATTTTTTCCCTCTAGAAGGAAGTATTACCTGACATTGGGTGGAGATTGCAAGTTTGCTCGTCGGTAAAAAAATTTGCATGGATATGATGGCATCATTCGATTCGTCTGACTGACAGGTGGAGATATTCTTTGGTATAGCGTGTACAGACGGGCAAATTGCCATCATCGCCTGTAACATATCGATTCTTTTTGAACGAAAGCCAAGAACTTCGAGACCATCAAGATATTAAAGTAAATTGGGTTTGTAGCAGAAACTCTGACATTTGCACAACATTTATTTTGCGCGTTTATCTAGATATTCTTTGTCTCGAAAAATCCGACAGTTTCAATAATTCTTTCAATAATCCGTAAATTGCAATTTATTTTCTGACATTTTTTTTCCGAATGGCCGTAATAAAGCAGATTACGCCACTTATTCCGCTCCGGCTCCTACACACTCTGCTTTTAGGCTTAGGCCAAGCTCGTATTAGACCAGCCGTATAAATTAATCACCACGCATCCAATTCCGCTCTAGTCGATCCTCGCCACATATCCTCCACCCTATCTCACCGTTCCGGCCTCGAAATTTCCCTTGCATTAAGCAAGAATTTGTTGAGAGAGAGAGAGAGAGAGAGAGAGAGAGAGAAACACGGGTTGAAACCTTTAGTTCTCCTCCCGCCCTCATTCGTGGGCAAGTCGCAACCGTTTGTGAAAAATCAATTTTAGACGCAAGAGAGAAAGAAAGCGAGGTCACCGTGTTTCTCGTCCACATTGCACAGACGTAAAGTAACGTGGCGTATCTCGTTCGCATCGGTTATGAAAACTCGTTTTTGCGATCTATCCCGCCGCATGAAGCAAATTGTCGACTTTGCCGGAATTAAAATTGTATTTTCAATGACCGGAAGCGATAGAGAGATAGAGAGAGAGAAAGAGAGAGATAGATAGAGAGAAAGAAAGAGAGAGAGAGAGAGAGAGAGAGGGAGAGAGAGAGAGAGAGAGAGACAGAGTTAAATGGCGCCGTTACGCCAGTGGCTGTTGAGAGTGAGCGTCAGCGAGGATATTTCTCTGATATTTGTTCTCCGGGAGATGATGTGTTGTCTTATTTGTCACGCTGTACGAAGCGTTACTCGTCGGAACAGAGCGTTATCCACTTAAAGCTATTGTATCGAGCGCGTTCTCGTTGAAGATTTTACGTGAAAATTGTTGACATCACTGTTGCGAGTCTTTAGTAATCTCGTTTATTGATAAATGCTAGATACAGATTATTAAAGGCTTTTGAAAACGTTTTTAAAATTAAAAAAAAATTTTTTTTTAAAGCTAATAATTTAAACACCTATTGTTCTAGGTATCTGGAATCGATTTTATTTTAGCGAAATTATTGACGTATCAATAATTTCATATTCATTGAATAACTTTTATTCGCACAAATAAATATGAAAATTAAAAATCTGCGCAATTAATATTTATAAAAGTAATTTTATCGTTACAGTGTTTTATTTAAGTAACAAAATGAAAATAAATAGCGACTGCAATTAAAGACTTGAAAACTGAACGCGCGTTTGTATTGCAGATAATCCGTTAAAAGCTCACTGTATTTATCGTGCTAAAGTTAAAGATTCGCGTTGGAGATTCCTACATTGTATCCGCGAGGTCCATTTTCACACTACACCGGATACTGTTTTACTGTTTTTTACAAATTAGTCAAGTATGATCGCGTATAAAGAGAGTAGAGGATCTCGTATGACGCAACTTTAGCTTGTGTTTACCAAAGGCGAGTTAATATAAACTTCCCGCTTTTTAACGGAATACCATCTTTCGTGAAATCAATTACAGAGGGAATTTAGCCAACTACAGTTCCTGTTTTCATCGTGTATTTCCGTCGGGCGTGGGTGCGGTAAAGGAAGCGGAGGAATAAAGGGATATTGCTTATCCCTTTACACGGTTAACTTTCCCTCGCCATTTCGTCCGGCGGTCCGTTACACAAGCAGCCAGTGTGCGGAATGTATATTGCGCGTTTTTCACTATTACAAAGGGCCGTACGTTGTTGCCGAAACGAAGTTGTTGTATGTCCTCCGTCCAACTCATTTTGAAGGGCTTTGCAGATTGCATATGTTATACGCTGCATATAAGGGCGTAAACTAAATAACGCGACGGTGGTGCGCAGCAGGATAGCAAATTTGCGGAAATACGTTAGCGCTGACCGATGTGTTTTACAGAAACCAGGTCAAGATATTAAATAATCATACTTTGCAGACGGTAAATTACAGGCAGAGTAACGATTTATACATTTCTCGTATCAGTGATCCTTATATTGCTCTGAGCAACGCAGTAATATAACTTCTAAATTGCATTCCATAAATATTCTGGGGCGGTGATACATTTGTGGAGATGTTTTTTCATCTTCCTCGGCACTTCCCGGAATCGCCAAGATACCAATTCCATTCCAGATTCCAGTTATCACGGATGCGATTTGAGCGTTTTTGCACGGACGTTTAGATATCTATAACACCGCGCGCATAGTTCATAATTCAACCGATTATTGGATGACACAGACATTCCATCGGGTGTGTAAACTCTGTTTCATGTCTCGTAGATTTTAACGGATCACGGCGAGATTATGGCGCGGCGCCGTATAACTGCGAATGCCCGAGTAGCGCAAACATCCGTCGCAATCTGTACAATGGACATCCGCAGCGATTGCGGCTGGGATATCCAGGCATTCGGACTGTGCGGCGCGCGATTGTTAAGCCTGCAATCTGTCTGTAATTTTGTAACTCTCGAACATGCGGGATTTATGCAGTGTTCGGTGACAAATGAGGATATCGACATGCTCATTGAAAGTCAAAATGATGTACACACGCGAAAGAGTATTGTATCCCTATAAACAGCGTGATATAAGAAATTGACGCCAATTAAAAAAATGAAAAATTGTACGTGTAAAATTTAATTCTTCCATTTAATGTGAAATGTATTTAATATTTAAAATAAAAAAAATTTTTTCAATTTTACAAGTACGTCTCTTGTACCATTTTTGCAATAAGTGTGGTGTAAATTGCACATTTCTTTAAAAAACCATAAAATTCGCTATAAACAATATAAACAAAGTCCTTACCTATACATTAATAATCAACGATTGCCTTTGCTGCGCGTATACGACAATGTTTCTTGATATTTCTTTTGGTAAAATTTGTTTTAAAATTTTGTTGGATTTAAAGAAAAGTTACAATATATATATATATATATATATATATATATATACATTCTGTAAAATGCGCAACAGTGCGTAAATAATTTAAAGATACTCGATTATTTATTCGTAATTGACTTACAAGTTCAATTCAAGATGTTCAATGATATGTCGATGCTTATGTTCTGCGAAACAATATTATTAAAATTGACACGGTCTTCCGGATACAAAGAGTGCAGTTATTATTTTTCTCGAGTGAGCATCGATCCGATACAAGGTTTCAATTTAACAGTGCATTTCCAATCAACGAGACTCTACTTACGAGACGTTCCGGTAAACGCAATTTTCTCAAAGCACTTTTCTCGGATCAGAGGTTCCCGCCGCCGTTTATTCCGATTAACAACGCTACATTGAGTTTTCCTTCGTACATATCTTTCGGCTTTTAGCGATAAATTTATTTGTCGTATATTGGCATATTATTAACAACTGTCAGAGCATATTGTTAACAACTGTGAAAGTTGCCGTTATTATTGTCGGTTAAATTTTTATTAGATAATAATGTTAAAAATGTTTGATCCAATAACAATTTTTGATTAACAATAACAAGAGAAGCGTCATAATGATGATAACATGATGAATCATAAAACTAATGCTACTAATAATGTAAATACGATATCGGGGACGAAATTAGAAAGACGCGAGAGAAGTAGCGGCCGAGCGGACTTTTCCTCCAGATGAGATTTTAATTCAACTCCGGCCGTTAATCTCGCCAGCACGGAAACGGAATTAATTAAAGCTGCTTAACGGGTAAGACGGGCAATTATTGGATTTACAACGCTATCGCTTGCTGGGATTAAACTGATACGCCGATGAATCGTACAGCGTCGCCGACGCTTCGGTGGCTGCATCGGAGCGCGACGCTGCCGGCTTGATGCATCGTGTGCATTGTGTACACTTACAAACTTCTTTCTTTTCATGCATCACGTGCCCATGCATTCGTTGCGTTTAATCGGCCGGCGGAGTTTTGTTTTCCCTCGCAGCGTATGCTCATGGACAGCATAAAAAGATTGATTACTTTACAGACGTCGGTCGGAATGTTGACTTGTTCCACTTACAGTCTTCGTATACGTCGGAAAATATATGCATTGGTTTATTTATGTGGAGAGAAGTAATATTTAACAAGAAATCCTCATTGTAAGTATATTATTTATAATTATAAGTATTTAAATAAAATATTTCCTACCATATCTTTCCATATCTTGTTACATTTATTGCACGGCAACGTTTGGTTTATCTGTATCTCAATCACTTCGAGGTAATGTTAATGAAATTCCACAACAAAAAAGAATACGACCCATAATGTAGCTCGTAAAACGGTCGAAGTTTTCGGTTACTCGTAACTCTCCGGATTAGGAACGTTTGCCGAACGCAAATAACGATGCGTTCGTGTTTCCCCGACCATGAAACTCCAGGACTCATTATCATGTTCCCACAAACTCGTCGATATGCGCGCCGCGGAATAAGAGAACGTTTGCCCATGGTTCGTTGACCAACGATTCGATAGTCTGCGTGAATTACTTGGGTACGGAATGGAGCAGCTATCACCGCGACGAAGTGCACTCTTCCAGACGTTTCACCGGTAACATTACCATACATTCGTTATGCCACGGCTGCTCTTCTGGGTATTCTCGATCTTCGGCCTTTGGTCGAATTTTTGGAGGTGCCGAGCGATACTGTTGTACCCTCAGAATACTTTGTGGCAGGTATTTTCAAAATTTATCTTTATGTTTATTTTTGTAGCATGTACATTATATTGAAAGTAGAATTTATTTAGTTCAGTTTCTTTTATTCACATTATTTAAGTGCATCAAAAGAAGTTTAATATTACTATTTGAAAACTTTTTACTCCGTTAATGCCGCCAGCGTTTATTGTATATATTGTTCTGCAACCTATTATTTTTAAAGTAAAGCTTTAAAAGTTAAAAAATTTTAAAGATTATATTATGCTTATAACGTAACATTTACATCATAATTTTGCACGTTAGCGTGTATCAATTCTCATGAATTTATCTTTAATTCTGCAGATTTTGATTGACGATAAAAAATTTCTGCATCCATATATCATGGGAAGAAATTGCGCTCGAATCGAACGTACAGGATAGGCTATTAAAATGATATTTAGCTGCGCATACCAATCATTACAAGAGCTTTTAGCTTGTGCTTGCGGTTTGCGCAACAAAATACGACCGCTGTCGCCGCATTAAATATTTATTTGCAAGCCGTTGCTGCGCTAATTAGCAAATCTGATCTGACTCGCGACTGGAAATAAATTATTATCCTTCCTGAAAAAAAAATATTCGTTTTGAATAAGATTTCCTGCGATAAAGAATATTTTCATAAAATTTAATCCTTTTGATTTAAATTTTTAATTAAAATTATATTTATACTTTCAAGTTTGTAATAATTTCTCAATTTTATTGCTATAAGTGAGTAAATATATATGTATCTATATACATATATATGTGTTATAAACCTTTTTAAACTTATCTCGCAATTTCGATGTTTCCTTCACGATATAATGCTGGAAAATTTATTCGATAGTTTACTCTGGGTATTTCGATGCCAGTGGCGATGACGAAGAAGGGCGGTATCGCCTTCTCCATGGGATATCAACTCAACTTCGGTTTACCGTGGAATGCGTCACAGTTCGAGCCGACGATAATTCCTGCGAGACATATAAGGGATCTCGATTTGCAAGAAACTTACATCGCCATTGAAGATATGTTGGACGAGTAAGTTGTACTAATCGCTGTAGACCTTCTTGAAAAGTCTCGCTGCACAAAATTTTCTTTTTATAATTCCAATATAAAGTTTGAAGAGAAAATATCGGAAAACTTATCTGATCATTGTTTGTATTAATTAAATTAGTCAAGAATTAAATAAAAAGAATTAAATGGGGGCAAACCGATAAATCCTGATATATCGCTGGTTTCAATTTGTAGGACACTTACAGAGCCATCGAGATTGGCCGAACGAGCGAGTTGCCGCCCTCGTTATTCTCTTTCCGCACCTTTTGTTCACTTTCATATACACGATTCGGGAACAAGCACGCAATTTTACTCGCGCTGCGCCGAGTTTGTACAATGGGCAGTCGAGAGGCGATTTGAATTTCGAATCGAAAGAACAAACGCCACGCATTACCGGACGAAATTGCCCGATGAATCAGTAAACATGGCAGAAGCACGAGCGAGTAAATACGTAATTAACTTAATTCCGCTATACTGGTCGGATAATAATTATCGCTTATTAAAATTATATTTCCTCCAAGACAACGCAATTCTTTATTTCTTTTTTTTAATTTACATTGAGCGAAATTTTGAAAGTTTGCTGATATCATAAGTAATTATATCAACACTTTTAGTATCAATGGTAATATTTCTGAAATTTCGCTAGATATCGGAGTTTTTTCATTTTTTTTGTTCGCATATCCATGAAATCTGATAATAATGACTGATAATATCAAACGTCAGCGTTAATAAATATTATTTATTGCTACCGGGGTTTATAAATATAATGATTTTATCTAAATCTAGAAAAATATTATATACATTCTTACTATTATTACTTTGATAAAACATTTATTTTTAAACTTGACTTAAACAAATAAAGAGATTTTTTTAAATCACATTTAATTGAAGAAATTTCGTACATATAAATAAAGAAATATTTGAAAGCATTCGGAAGCGTGATTAATCGTGGCAATTATTATTAAGTTAAAGAAGATACACAAAAGCATGTAACACAATTGACAGATGCGAGTTCTTTCAACGTGACTACTTTCAACGACAAAAGACATCTTTCCTCGGTTTCTATCTCTCGCACTTTCGCCCCATATAAGTGAGCGTTGTCACTCGCAGGGTGACAACGCTCAAAGGGCGGCAGGGGTAAAGATGGCAACTCGAACATAAATTAATTGGGACATAAGGCAATTACTCCGCTGGGATGCGGAGTAGTACAATGTAGGAAAGTAGATGATAAATGGAGAGCATACCTCTCGAGATATTGCGCACAATAAAAAAATGCGCGATCAAAAATAGCGAATAGTGTGAATGCGCATTGATATTTCAAACAATTTTACACAAACGTTTGAAAAATAATCGTTCAAAATAACAGTTAAAATTTTTTTCGCTTAGACAATAAAAAATATAAAAAAAAAATACAAACTATTAAATTCTTTTAATTGTAATATATATTCTCGTGAAATTTCTATAGATGTTTCAACAATTTATCCTCCTACTGACACTTATAGACAACAATAATTTTATTTGATTCAAATTTCAATTTATAGCATTTGTATCACATTTCTCCTCATTTGCACGTCATATTTTTCGCAAACATATAAGTTAATTCTATATCATTTGCGGTCGGAAATATCGCGAGGATGGATAATTTGATTTTATACGGACACTTTGTGTGGACTCCGCAAAAAGCGGTTACTTCACAAGTTAACATTTCTACTCTCTCGACTGCCTGCCAAAGGTTTCACCGGCACGCATCACTCTAATAAAATTACCACGGTGTTGAATTAAAATGAAAAAACTAGGAGGATTACGGAGAAAGAGAAGAGGACGCGGTGCGTAAAAACCTGGTTGCAAAGTAAGATTTAATGTTGACTCTTTAGACACGGTTGGCGAGATGGCAGGCAGTGCCTTTTGAGGACCATTTGCGAGCTCGCAGAGACGCCTCTCCGCAGAGCCGAGCAGGACGTTCTAGAGGAAATGATTCACTTAATTTTAACGTAAGTCAATTCCGACGTTTCGGCATTCGCGCTTTGACTCGCGCCGAGCCGAGGATCGATATACACTCGCGCGCTTCCGGAAACGAGATTCATTACTGGAAGAGTCGTGAGTAATGAATTCCCTTGGAAGTCACTAATGGCCGACGTGTTCGTTGAGAATAATGTAAAGACTTCGCGAAATGTTCGTACGCAAATATACAGCTCGTGAAATGTGGGTTAGCAGGATGGAAATTGTATCTTGTTGCAGAGATTCTGCTCGCGTTGTACACAGGATTATTATAAAATTTAACATGTGATGTTACAGATATGAGACAGTATACTCTTTTTTTTATTTTTGTCATGCTAAATAAACATAAAAATTTTTTTATCATAAATTGAGAGGAAATTTCTGTACATGTCAAATTACATTGGCTTCAAAGTCTAAAGTTTGAATTTGAAGAAGAATGCGCATGAACATGACAGTGAGAGAGATTTGATGAAACATAAATACACGCAGAGTTTACAGCTTCGCGAGGAACTGCAGAATTACATGTATACATAGTCGTAAAATCTGTTACGATTCGGACTCGTGTTTGGTGAAATCCTAATAGAGCGTTAGTTGAGTAGCAGATGGCTGTTACATCATGCAAAATATTCGCTCGTCCGCGTCGGCTTCATGGCATCCCATAACCAGAGCCACGAATTTGCTATTCCAAACGCGCTCCAAGCCCGCGTGTGTTCGAAGGAAATTGCGCCCGAGCTAACACCGGCGCGCTAATTGCGACAAAGTTAGGCGCGTACATTAAGTTTCTAATGGAAGTGTTTCGCTCTAGGTTTTCGCCGGGCTTTGCTTTGTCTATCCCTTTTGCTTGCTATCCCTTCGTGCGCCCGACGCAGTCACTTGGGAATTTCTCTCGAAATAACGTAACGAAACGTCGATGCACGGTAATTGCGTACCCGTGACTCCGCGAGTAAGCCCCGTTGTCAAGTATATTTCACAAATTAATGCCGACGAGCCATTAATCGCCAAACATGCAAATTACGGAGATTTGTCGAGAATCCTAGGTATCCATATGGATTCCGGTTGGTTCAATAATTGATAATATATGAGATAAAATAAATTATAACATTTCACATAAATATTGACGCAGCGAGTAAGTTTACCGAGTAATCGAAATTGCAATTTTAATACAATATGATAAATTCACTATTTACTTTGCGCATTATTTAAAAAGCGGAAAAAATAATATCTTAAAAAATCGTGCACAATCGCAATTAAATTTTTAATTCTATCTTTAACGCTGGCTACAGGATATATTATTCTATTACATGTTTTAAATGATATATTTTTACATAACGGTTTACAATGATATATGAAGAGCGGAGAATAGAAAGATAAAAATTGTGAAATCAAATGAGTACTCGAGTTACAAGAGATCGAAAGATATCGGATAAAATGCTCGATGCGATTAAATAACCGCAGGCTCGACGAAAAGCGCTCGAAACAGTTTAATCTGAATTTTTCCTTTGCAGGCCCACGGAGGACTTGCCAGTAGCGATTAATTCCAGTCACCGGAGCGCCGACAAATTGTATCAGGAAGCCGAACAATTGGGAAGGTCTGGCGGCGATTGCATCCTGACGTATCCCGATTGCATCGAGTCACCCTTGAAATTATTTACAGAGATTGTATTTCCTTAAGAAATGGAATCGAATCCCTTCGACTTCGTTTCCCTTCGCGACTCAGAATACAACATTCAATTACTGGTGCGTCGCGCACGTCAACTTTGTAATATTTATCGTCAACATGGTGAATCTCAATATAAGTAGCATAATCTCTTCTTGGAGTTCTGTTCACCAATTTCGACATGTAACAAATGAGAGTTTTGCCGTGAGATAAATTTGACACACGCGCTTGAGTAAAGTTAAATGATGATAACGTTGGATTTGCAAATAATTGCGTTATCATAATAAACAAAGTTATGTAATATTTTAATTTAAGCACAAATTTTAAAATATAATAAAATTTATGATCGCCTTATGATCGGTTTATATATATTATATGTATATATTATAAAATTTATTTTAAAATATTGTTACTTACCCGAAATGTTAAGAATGAAACCTGGACGGGCCGCGACAGATATTTTCTTGCAAAAAAAGCGTTGAAGGCTTGATCTTACGAATCGAATGGTTTGCTTTAACAAGCAACGGTCCAGAGAGATCAATTTTACTTTATTAACTAGTCGACTGTTTGTTGGGTCCTTTTTTGACCTGAGATAGAAATCACAATTATCGAAGACAGAACCTCGTACAATCTCGAAAAGGAACTAGTGGGCGAGATTTTATTTAAATAAAATTTAGACTTTTATTAATAAAATTTGAAATTAATGATTATTTAATTTAATTAAAACAAATTTATTCAAAAAGTGTGATACATGGATGTTATTTACAAAAATAAATATCATATGTTTATAAATATTAAAAATAAACATATGAGTAAGATTAATACATTTTTACGACATCACTTCGCGAATGCCGAGTATTTAATTAAGTATATCTTTTTATTTTAAAGGCGTTGATTTGCAGCAGCAATCGAGTGTTTTGTCGCAAACGCGAAACGAGAAAAGCTACTAGCAATAAGTAAATTTCGCTGTCTTCTAGATACCTAGAAAAGCGATATACGGCGCCTGATCCTTTTTCTCCTACGTGTCAGTGTGTGCTTTTTATCTGGATTCGTAAATAGCGTATCTGCCTTCCTTCTCACGTTCTCTGCAGCTTCCTCTTTATCCTTTCTACCTCTTCCGCTCTTTCTCATGCTCGCTATCTTTCACCGTCTTTTCCTTCCGTATGTCTCGCACTATCGAAAGTTTCGTAGATATCTGGAAGGCACGGGTACAGTACAGGCACTTGTGAAGGACGATTCACCGGATGGATAGCAGTAGTTCTTCCTCTGGACGATGGAGCAGGTCTAATCACGCACTTTTGCATGTCGGCTGCATACATATACAGAATGACCTAGAACTCATAGAAAATAAATGCATAACATATTTTATGAGATTTAGAACTGATTTGCGTTTTAAAAGTATTGAAAGATTTAATAGGTTTCAAAGATAAGCTACCATTGAAAGTAAAGAATGAGTTTATGAAGTTTCAGGATTATAAAATCATATTCTATAAAAACAATTCTCTAAATAAATTGTAATAAAAATCTATTTTATATTTAATTACAAGTTCCATTAAAAATTAGAAGTTTCGTAGATAATGATTTTGCTTTTTGTCAAGAAAAAGTGGAATTTAATACTAAAAATTGAAAGCGTTTAATATAAAAAAGAAAATTATTTTATCACAAAAATTTAAATCTCTAGAAAAAAGTGTAATTTTGGATAAATTAGTTGAAGCAATTTATCTAAATATATGATTTTAGATCAAAATACTTTAGCTTAATTTTGCGCCTCTTGTGTTTTCGGAGATCGGACTGTGCGCATTTCTGGTGTTAAACACATTACCCACGTGGGATTATAACGGTTACGTTTGTGATAATATTATAGTGTTACTATAGAACTACACGCCAGAGGATTACATGTATGGCTAGATTAATTAATTTAACAATTTACGAGTAACGGTATAAGCATTTTTTAGGAAAAAGGTGGATTCTAAACCACACATTCGTCTTGCTAAGCGTTCTTTTTTTGCTGGAAAACAATAAACTTTTTCTCTATTTACCATCCAAGTTTGTTCAACCACTTTATTGTTCGCCGTTTCCATCTTCATTTATCTCCTTTTCCCGACTTTTTCTCCAATTTTTACTCGTCCGCCTCGAGATTTCGTCCCATTGTCCTAAACCTCAAGTGTGAAGTATCGGAAATAAGATTACTCGCATTATTTTAAATAGCGACGTATTACATAATTTCTTTACAGCGCATCAATTAAAACTTCGCAAGTCATTAACTCTCGGAGATTTACCCCCGACGTAGAATAATGACCTCTTTCTCTACTCAGTTTCGCCGGTTTACGGTCTCTCCTTTCTTTTTGACCCCATCTTCATTTATCTCATCTGGCTTTTCTCTTTCTCCTTACGCGCATTATCCCCACTCACCTTCCCTCCTCCGCGCTCCTCCTCGCGTGTCTTCGGGTTTTAAAGCCCGAACATGTAATCTTCTTGTTCCAAAACTTGTTCCGCGCAACACCTCTTATCCGGAACTTGTCACGGGCATTCTCACCTGGGAGAGGTAGTGACAACTTTCTGCAAACAGTGATTACAAAGGCAAAACTGACAAACATTTGAAGCAAGAGGGTGAACAGTAGATTGCCATCTATCTTGCGACGGCATCCGGCTGCCAGTTCCTCCGCGCATTTTCGCCTCCATTGTTCGGAGCGCACGAGGTTTGCATTAACTTTAACTAGCTTTATACTTGCGAAACATATTTTGCAGCATTATATTACTCACTATGGTTTTGATAGATGAAAGTAATAAGATTTAATTGAAGTGCGTAGTGGAGAAAGGATACACATGGAGCACGCAAATAACAATGATTAATTACGTCCGACATTGTATGTGACATTTTACATCGTTTGTTACAACTGAAAAAAGCGACGGAATTAAATTCAGCGTAAGTAGATAAAATATAATTCGGGAGATTTATTCACGCAGTGAGGACAGTAATCCAAGTTTAACGATGAAGTGTCATATCGCTCAAACAAATGTATTTTGCATCTCAAATCTTTCGCTTATGTACGCGAGTAATTACTAAGAACAAAGAAAACGATATCGGAATTGTATGGTAAACAATTTGAGCTTGCGTTAAACTAGTTTTTACAAAACAATTTCCTGCTGTTTATTAAAAAATTAAATTGAAAAGTTCTTGTAAATTTTTTTATATAAATTATTTTAAATAATTGTTTTAAATTAATCTTTTCATGAAAAATATTTAAGATTTTAATATTTTAACTACGAAGAAAAAGAGAATTTCATATTTTACATGATTATAAAAATTTTGTATTGTCATTTTTATAAAATATATGTAAAAAGATTATATTACTTTAACAGGTGTGTTTAATAAATCATTTGAAGAGTTGAAGATAAATTTTAATAATATTATGATGATATTTTACATCAAAATGAAATTTTTTGAACTAATAATAGGAATTTCTAATTTCGTTTTACTAAGTAAACGAGTTGGTCAAATTTCAAGAATATTAATTGTTAATTTCAAGAACATCACGGATTCCCTTTTGGTCGTGGCTCTCTAGCCGTCCGTGTGCGCGAAATTATTTGAGCGTGTTTGACCATAATTCATCGCAGGTGTCGACTCGCTGAGCAAGCAATTCGTGCGGCTCTACGAATTTACGTTAATTTCCACGAGGCGGGTCACGTGCGCCGGTGGGAGTTCCAAAAGGGGGAAGTAGAAACGGCCGGTTAAAGTCAGACAAGCGTGCGTATGCGCCACTCCTGCAGTGAGTTTATTGTGTCCTCGGTCATAAGATTAAAGGTATGCTTACATTGAATGAAATATATATTATATCTACAAACCCGTTCATTTTAATTATGCTCTTAAGATTTATATTGTTTACATTACTTTAACTTTGTATTTATTAATTATAAGACAAATGTTGATCTTTCAGAATGTTCTATTAAATCTTTTATTATTCTTGTGATTTTTAACAAGTCAGATATGTTACTAGGACAAAAATAATAAATAAAATGCTAAAATATAAGCCTTGTAACACTTTTCTATAAATTTTCTGAAAAATTTTCTGAAATACGTAAAAAATTTATTTTTTGCATGATGTGCCATTTATATTGAAATTTATGTATTCGTGCAAATAACATAAGATCTTATATATGTGACACATTACTTGATGTGAAGGAAGTTTAAAAGGAATCTGCGACCACGAAAGTCTTCCCTCGAGCGATACCTAAAAACTTTTCCGGGTGCCAGGCATTAGAGTTATTTACCTCGAGTCTCTTCTTTTTCGGGAAGCTACACGCCACGGCGAAGTGCGAAAGCGACGCGATACTTATACAGGGCGGACCATAAAAGCCGGTCATAAATTGCACCCTTGATAAAAGTAGCTATATTTAAGGCCGGTCACCCGCGGGGTAGATCTGAATACAAATTCAGTCATTCTGACAGTGACAGCGTACATTTTATTCTCTGAATACGACGCAAGTTCAAGAATCGCGTTGCTTTCGTGTCGGGATTATAGTATATTTGTACTTCGTATTCTCGTTCCGCTCTCTGCTATCCATGAAATCCAGTAGGGTCAACTCGGGTCAAACATTACAGAAGTCTAGAAACTAAAAAGTTGTTACAAACTGAAACTTTTATGAGAAATTTTTTATATTGTATATTATATCTATATTAATACATGCATTGTAATTTTTATAAATTATACTTTTGATACAAAATATTTTAAGGAAATTTATGGGACTTTATACGCATTGATTAATAATATAACAATAATAATTTTCTCTTTTATGTATTTCTAATTATTAAAAGTATAAATAACAATATGCATTCTTATAACTTACATAAATATACTTGATTCACTCCTTTTAATCGCAGAGTGTTGAGATAATCTTTGTAGTTGTGCGGTGCTAGATATAAAAATACAGTCTTTATTTCAATTATCTTGTCTTTAACAGTAACTTGTCAACGGTAAAAGCGTTAAATAATATATCTACGAAGTCTAAATAAATATAATACAAAAATGGCTACGTGTAATGATAATGAATTTTGACTTTGCTTTTTTACGTCATGCTTCTCCATTATAATATTATTTTGTTGCTTGTAGCACACGATGAATATGCGGTATGGACTTTTAATGAGTTGCTATGTATCTCAAAAAGATAGAGTTAAAATAGAAAAGTGGAAAAGTAGTTTACAATAAAAAACAATTCTAAATAATATTCTTCGTGTAAGTTCTGTGTAAAAATATGATCATCTTTTTGAGACAAAAGCATGATATAAATGATACATATTGATTTCTGTAAACAGTTTACGACCAAGAAATAATGTAGCTATTTACTCAAAAACCTGTTATTAAAAACGCTGTGTGCTTGAAACATTTTTTCTACTTAAATTGTATTTTTCCCAAGTACTGTATGTTTGCGTTACTATTAAAACTGACAGCGAGGCATTACACGTAAAAAAACAAAATCGAAAGCGTCGGCGTATTTAATACTTACAATTAACTTGTACATTCAGATCAAAATAAAAAGTTGATACATAAAAACTGATAAAAAACAATAAAAAATTATTTATGATTTTAATGATTCCCGAGAAAAAATGGTATAATATGATCAGATGTAAATATATAATATATAATATAATATATATAATATATATAATTAGTTATGAAAAAATTTGATAACATATAATATTTTATATAATCATATAAAATTATATGTTATGAGACATATTATATCTCATACATTTTTTCTCGGGTTACATATATAAATATTGTTAAATGTATAATATCTTTATTCTGCATTAGATCCTGATGACAAAACGAGTATTTCTACTCATCTTTCTCACATTATACTATTGGAAAGGTGAAAGTTTCGCATCTAGACTAAAAAGACAGAAATTATATCCACCGCCGATTGTTTATCCATTTGGGGGAACATTCAAGGTATTTCTTATCTTTAAAAAATATCGCAAATATTTGTGATAATGCATGAGAAAAATCCCTTACTGTTGTTCTCTCGAGACTAATCAATAAGTTACTCACAAAGTCCCTTTTATTATTTACTCATCTCGGTTTTCTGACGAAAAACGTCCTCGAATTTTTTTGTCCACTCAGTACACTTCTACCTTACATTCCGGTCATATTTTTAGTGAAACTTAATTCTTTCAATCGCTTTTGCGTTAACCGAAACCGCCGAAATCGGAGATCAAGGGGAGTTAGATCACTCGCTTCACGGTCATCAGGGCACTACAGTCATCTTTTGTTACCAATTTATATGAGTCGCGTTAGAATTAGTCAACAAAGTTAAAACACTGATTAACCTATTAAATTGTTCTCCTCTTTCTTATTCCCCAATATACCCCATCTCAGAAGTCCCTGTCCCCCAGCAACAATTGCCTGACACTCTCAGTCCAAAAGACGCATTTTCTCTCTCCTTCCTTCTTTACCGGATCCGTCTATTCTCGCTTGTTATATGCATCAATTGCTCAACATTTGTCTAGACCAGCGCTCAGAATTAATTACACATTTCGGGCCGATTCAGGAGACAACGCCTCCTGTTCCCCCACTACCGCCCGGCCGCTGGCGGCCGAGCCGCCGATAGCTCTGGTTCAGGAGCGTTTTATATTAGAAATAGGCTGGATTGTTTAGGCACCTCTCAGAAAATAGTAATATTTTCTTTGTTACATAAATATTGTTTATTTTTATTAATAATTAAATATGTATATATTATGTATATATTCTTTTTGATTTATATCTCACAGCTTCGTTTCTTCGCCCTTTAACTCATTTCCAAAAACATACACGACGGTTCTGTTCCTAGTAAAAGGGAATTAATTCCTTGACCTAAAAAGGAATCTGCGAGCGATCAACAGCCTAACAGAGGAAAAACGACCTTTCTGTCGGTAACCCGTTAGCACTACACGGAGAAAATTTTATATCAAAAATTACTATGTACGGCAGTAGCTGAGAACCATAAAGCTGCGAAAAGACTGAAAATTTTTACTAAGTTTTACATGTGAAAAACATAATAAAAACTTTTATAATTTTTTCATGGTCTGCCGCGAACTATTACACAGTAATTTTTTATATAAAATTTTTTCCGTGTACAGATTGTTTGCTTCGCGCAATCAGTCTCCTTGATGACCGAGTAGATCTTTTTATCAGGACGTAACAATATTATTAAAAATAAAAATTAGAATAGACGCACTAATTATATTTAAATTTTGAAAACTGCAAAAAATTCAGCATTTTATAAAATTTGCATAGAAAAGGTATTATTTAACTGTAGTAGGAATAACTTATATTTTAAGCCGGGAATTTTTTAAATACAATTTTTATTACTACTAAGATAATTAATTATTAATTAATAGCTTCGATATTAAGCTTATTGGTTAAAACCATAATCATCATCATAATATCAATCATATCAATCATATCAATATTATAATATGTATTTCAATAGAGTTTAAGTTACTTGAATTTTTCTGCCAAGCAGTATTTGATAAAAATTATGTGTACTTCTAATACAAAATAAGAATATAGACAGTGAAACAATAGTAAAATACAGAATAGTAGCAAAGTTTATCACTCTGTTTTGCATTAATACAACTATCATAATTATTAAATTACATAGTCGCTGTGCAGAATACAAGAATATAGGATTATAATTGCATGATTAAAATTTTAAATTGTTTATTAAATATGCTTTCCAAATGCACTGCTATAATTCATTGAAAAATATTTTCTACGAAATGAGTGTACAATTATAATCTGCAAAGCAGAAAATTTTAATGAAGTATAAAAATAAAAACCAATATTATATCAGGATATTATCATTATTATAAAAATATAGAAATTTTAAATAATATTTTGTATTATTATAATTAAAATAACGGAAACGTAAAATCAAGCTTGATATCAAGCCACCTATCGATTAAAATCACAAATCAATCGTAATGTTTCAAAAAAATATGAGTTACTTAAATTTTTCCTAAATATATTATAAGAAATATTCTTATATTACATAAAATAAATGTGTAGAAAATGAAAGAAAATTTTAAAAAATAGTAAGAAACTTTGTCCCTTATTTTTTTTTTTTTTTTTAATTCCAATGCATTAATCCATTGCATTTTTGTGTTTTTAAATAAAATAAATCCAATTTCTTGTTCTTAATATTTAATATTTATTCTTATGAGTAATATTTTGTCTATTGTGCGTTGGGTTTAAAAGTTTGAGCTTTTAAAATCTTACTCTTAGTACACAGTTTACAGTTTTAGCCAATAGATGGCTAATAATTTTGGAGAGAGATCGATCAATTAACTTAATAGTTGAAAAATTTGTATTTAAAAAAATCTCGGTTGCAAATACAAATTATTACTTATAAAACACGACATTTAGAACTCGTTAAGACTAATTAAAAATGTATTAAAACTAAAATCTAAGTAAAATTAGAGATACATTGCCCGTGTGCTTCTCGAGGGCAGTTGTATTGATTATAATACACATATAAAGAAAGAATATGTTCCACAATTTCGAATAGTCTGATATTGTCCAAGAAATAATATGCTTCTAGGTATAAGCTTTCTTAGGTATTTAATTGCGGGCATATTGCATATACGTATAACGTATTGCATTGATGATGTTTTGTATTCCACTTTCATTAAGTCCGCAGCCATATTTCGACAGTTGAACACTATATATATATATATATATTTATTCACCACCATTGTGTTCAACTGTCGAAATATGGCTGCGGACTTAATGAAAGTAAAATACAAAACATCATCAATGCAATCTTCGTTCAAAATTACATATCTAAGTCAAAATTAGTCTATATACTATAGTCAATATACTATAAATCATCACTATACACTATATTAAATATTTAAAAAAAAAAAATAAATATATTAGAACAATTTAACACATATAAAGGAATGGCTCAAATGATAACAATCAATTAATATAATAGAAAGGCATAGAGAGCCGTCGCGGGATGTTAGTGCGAAATTATAATTTTTCTTAAAGAAATTAATTTGTTAGTCTACGTGAGACAGTTAAATTTGTATACCGATCTCTGGTTCGAGATACTTAAAGTGTACGGAAATTTTAGTACATTGTTCTCACATATGGAGAATCAGTATGTACTGATAGGAATTATTAGAAAGAAGGAAATAGAGAAAAAATATCAGGGCGCGAGTGGCTAAGCCGGGAATTGAACCCGGGTCTTCCGCTTGCCGGGCGATGTTCTACCACTAACTACTCAGACCCCACGCTTCTAACATTTATTTCTCTTAGTTTAGGAAATCAACAAATCTGTAGGACATAAACGCGTCATAATGCCCGCATGATTTAAAACAATTTAACACATAT